TATATATATATATATATATATATATACACACACACACACACACATATAATTAAACATGCAGAGTTATAATATCAGAGTGGATCTTCATGACATATGATACACATTGATAGGTGACCATAAGTAAACCATTTATTTACTTACATAATTAAACCATTTATTTCCCAAAAATAAAAAGTCTCTATAATTCATCCATCCAGCAAAACGGTAAATTTTCTTTTCAACATACAAGCTATCTTAGAGCTCAAGTCCCAATTTTCCAACTTCTAGTTATACGCCAACAACACTCAATGTACACATACAAAGTTACATGAGGGTTTTTTTCTCTCCTATCCAAGACATTTGCTGGTGACTAGGAGACCACAAGTTCAGGGCACATACAAAGTTACATGAGGTCATAATAAAAAGGGGACTAAACTGCCTTCTGAAATCCGAACATTTTTCGATTGCATCATCTACAGAACAAGAACAACGATCAACAGTTTGCATCAGACTTGCCGAACCTGCCACTTTGTCACCCTCGCAGAGAACACTACAACATTAGCAAAATCTGTACAACTTCGGATGATGTCACCCTTCATCAACTAAGATTAGTATCCAGGTGTATAGATGCACTCTTCTCCTGTCCAAATAACGAGAAATTTTGAAATGCGTCTAGACTGTTTGATATCATACGACCCAAGAAGCCAAAACTATTGCTGTCTCCAATTACTACATCTTGACCCTGGTATCGGGAGGATGAAGGCATCTCCAGTTCCAATGGCCCCAAGGAATCCGGCTGCATCATACCAAAGTATTCGAGTAATAAAATCAGATACTCTCTTATAGAATTATGGAGTAATAAAATTCAGGTTCCCTGAAGTATGTATAATTACACGGATGACCCTAGAGTCTACATATTTACACAGATAACCTTGAGATTAATGACAAGTAATTACACAGGGACCTAAAGTCTGTTTACTTTTTTCCTTCACAGCGTTACAAATGTAGATATACTAAGTAATCTCAGGGTTATTCATGTAGAAATGCGAACTCCAGGGTCACCCAAATTTTCCTGAATGTATTTAATTAATTCGTGAGGAACAGAAAATTTGAAGAGGATCAAATACCCAGTAAATGTCCATGAGATTGATATCCTTCGGAGAGACATCTTTATCTTCCTTATAGGATGTATCTTTCTCAGCTTCCGATGCAACCTCCAGATCTCCAGATTTAGGGGGTACCTATCATCCAAGTAAGATTTCTTTATCATATGACAGAACTAAGAAAGTTCCTCATCTAGCAAATTATGATGCAAAATTAATTTGAACAAACCTTGAGATGGTTCTTAAAGAGAGATTCAGAAACAACGATCTCTTTATGATCCTTAATGGAAGGATTTGATGGACTATCCCTACTCATACAAGCTCGTGCCATTCTAAACGAAAACTCATCGCAAGTTTCTTCAGCATTCCACATGGACGAAGAGGCCGTTTGAGTTCGTACAGGATCAAATGCATCACTGCTAAATGGTTTCTCTTGAGGAGAAGGGCAAGTTTTCCCAAGGGAAGAATAACCACAACTGGACTTAGAAGCTCTGGATGCTTCCGATAATAGATCTCCAATGCTAATGTTAGTAAGGCTATCAACCCAATCCACAACTGAAACCTATATAACAGGTGCAATGAACATTAAGATCGAGTATCAGATATATTAGCAAAAGAAGGAACTTAATTAAAAAGTTTAATTGAGGATAGACAACCCCCCAACCCCACCCCACAACAAAAAAACACCCAAAAAAATCACCCAATTGCGAATAGACTCCAGAAGTTATATATTTGCAGATAGATCCCTGAGTGATTATTTTTGACTTGTTTACCTGCAGGAGGTCTATTTGTCAAATAACAAAAAACTTTTTTCTCTTCCTCTGATAAGGGTTTAAAAAAAAGTCATAACTCAGGGAGTCCATCCGCAACAATAGAACTTCAGGGGGTTTATCCCACTAGGTGAAAGTACAGGGGGTCTATCCACAATTCACCCTAAATAAATGACCTGTTGCTGTTCACTACAGTGGCCATCTCCAGTTCTTTTTCTGTTCTCAGATGTAGGCGTTAGTGCAGATGAGCCCAGAAGTTCATCATCAGGATCTGAAGGGGGCTCTTCAGGTATCGGCTCATGCACAATAACAGTAGAAGATAATGGAGTTGATAGATCTCCAGAGGACTTCATAGGTTGTTCAGAAATGTGAGCAAGTGGTTGAGCAAGTCCAGGTGACTCAACGTTAGGTGTTTCTCTCATCACAGGCTCAGTATTGGAGAACCAGCCATACCTTAATAAAACAATTAGAGAATCAGCAATAAAACTCATATATTACATAACTCCAATATTTTTATGCAAAGGCAATACTACGCATAGTATTTATATACCTCAACCGAAAAATAGTTGGGCTGCCCACAGCAGCATAAACATCTGCTGCACTGGAGATGGTGTCTTTTGCTGTCCATTTCCTATAACTTATATCCTCCTGCTGAGCACTATAAGGGAGAAGTGTGAGTTCTCCCGATGCTATGCTTGAGCTTCCCCATTTGCGGTTGAGATGTTCAAGAACAGATGAAATCCTTTTTCGGCTGCTTAAGGTGAGTTCCAAGTGTGGGTTGCATGCATCCTATAGTGCAATATAGAAGTACCATAATTTAGTAACTTCTGGAAGCTATTTTTTAAATAATTATACATGAAAAAGAGATTTCAAGCTTTTTTTTCTCTTCAACACAACGAGTCATACACTTACATGATAACAAAAAAAGAATTAGCTATCTCTGCCACAGTAGAGTTGAGATACGGAGGACAAAAGAAAGAGCAGGCAAAAATATTGATAACTCAATTGTTTGAAAACTATATGTATACTGAGGAACTCAGATTTCATATAATCATTCATTTCAAAAAATATATTCTATTGTACCTTCTCTAAAGCTTTGCGGGTAATTTCATCAATTGGAAACAACTGGAGCTTTAGTTTAACCACTGGCTGCATGACTGCATCCTTAATTTGATGTAAACATGTTCCCAGTAGAGTTGGAGGGCACAAATGGCCTTGATTGTTACCGGCACAATCAATATTCTTTTGCCCTGGACAATGGTCGCTCTATTACTTGAGATATTGGGTTCAAATCAAATACAGCTGAGAAACATACCAGATCTAATTTGGTCAACAGAACAGTTTCCACCATTAGTAGCTCGTTCCAACTGCTCAGCGGCATCAGCAACCAAGGAAACACCAGCCATTGCTGCCTTCTCCCATCTTCTATAAGCAGCAGATGCAACAAGACCTGCTACAAATCCAAAGGCAAACATATCAAAGTTATATTCTTGCAAATTTGATGATATGTGTTTGATAAGTTTAAACTGAAGATTGCGAAGTAACACAGCTAGTTCAGTGTCGTAGATATGAGCATTTGTAAACCACCTGGTCTTCTCTTTTGCCTCACTGATCTTGCAGGAGGCAGTTCCCCTTTGCTGAAGTTGATATTTGCACTCATATTTCGTTTCTGAGAGGGACCATTTGATTCCACTTTACTAGTATTTTGAATGTCGACAACTGGATGAACATCATTCTCCAATGCCTTACTAGGAAGTGAAGTTGCTGAAACTACATTTAGATACTTTTCTCCCTGGCTAGGTCGTTTTCTTCTGATTTTGTTCCGATCCTTCAGAAGTTGGTTTTCCTATAATTTACATAATAATGTTCAAAACTTATTCAAACATTAATTAAAGGATTAAAAGAGGAAAAACAGTGAGCAGAAAGAAAAGAAATAAAATTGCTTCACTAACCAAAGACTCTAGGAATATCTTAAATCTCCGAGGCTTCAGATGCAGTTTTGAAGCAGGGCAGCTATGTTTTTCAAGTAAGGACCACCTGTCATATAACCACCAAAGATATCAGACTTCAGGTTTTTTTAATCCAAAAATATTGGCTAAAGTTAAACCTGACACAAGTGAAGACATTTTAAATAAAATTTTGAGTTTTATACAGTGCCCACTGTCCAGAATAAGGTCCTTCCAGTGGCAGTTCATTAAATTCACTGCAACCTTCTCTTTTCTTTATTAAATAAAAACATTGTCCTCCATGTAATTATCCCCTCCTGTACTTTTCCACGAACTTGTGCTCATTACTTTGCATATAGTCCATCTTAAAGCTAACTAGTATATTTACACTCAAACACAAGAGAGCATTATAGAGAGAGAATAAAAGATTAATCACATAGCACAAATAGTTCTGAGAAACAGCTCTTAGACAAAAAAGGTGCAGCATGTTGGCACTCTATAATTGTGTATGATGTGACTGTTAAAAGTTAAATAGTATGTCTAGGTTAAAAGTTAAATAGTATGGCTAGCTATAAAGACAACAGTTCTGCTAAAGATTGTAAATGAATGTTACCATCGAAGCATGGCAGCAATGGTGTCCTTGGAATTTTTTGCATCAAGACATAATCCAGGACCAAGTAGTTTGTTCATACGTCTCACAAGGCGATAATAATAGTGCCGGACCTGCAAAATAAAGATATGTAACTATGGTTGGTGGAAATGGAAGTGCAGCAATGGTGTCCTTGAATTCTTAGCTTAGTAGCATTTCCGTTCAAACATACTTAAACCAAAGCACATTCAAGGACATCACAGGGGAGCCAAAAAGGTTCCAAGAGATTTTGAAATTTCAACTTCTAATTTGTTTTTCAGTTTTAGCAGATATGTGACTATGGTCGGTGGAAATGGAAGTGCAGCAGTATTTGTCGTAATTTGATTTCTATTTCTTACTTGATGAGGAAAATGATAAGTAAAGATTATAAATAGAACAATGAAATGTAGAAAGAAAAAAAGTAGCACAACTGCTACTACAAAGTTGGCTGCAATAAAGTAAAATTGGCTGTGCAAATGTTGCAGCCTAAGTCGCATAGACAGGGACATGGGTATAGGTACTGGTATGGGTGCAGATGCGGGTGCGGGTGCGGGTGCGGGTGCAAGTACAGAACACAACAATTTTGTAAAAAGTAGGGTATGGGGACATGGCTATATACATATATTGAAATTAATACTTTACATAAGATCAACAATATATTTTTTGTTCACATGATATGAGATTTAAAATTCGCATGACATTTTTATGTTTCTTTTATTATGTAGATAGATTATAAATTGGAAAATCACTTTCAACAGGATACCCAAACATTAAAAATCATAGGTCTGAACTGTTGCAATGAACATGTCCAACGCGTTTTAGGAAGTGAACATGAAGTGTAGGATAAACTTGCAAGAAGTGTATGACGAGTGTTTTAAATTAAAGCATGTATTATATAACTGAGTACATGTTTGACTAAACATATGAGTATATTTAAGGAATGTACGCATCTGATTAGAGTATAATACATCATAGAAGTGTGCAAGGAGTGTCCGGACTCCGGTATGTGTTAGTGTCCGGTACATGTTGGGCACGGGTACAAATTCATAATAGAAGTACACAGGTAACATACTTGCAGCTATTTACAAGTAAAAAATGATTAGCAACTCATCAAATTAGTTGTTTTTATCTCCTCAACTATTTTTTAAATCACTCTTGGAGTCATAAATGACATGCATGTAAGTGTAATTACTATATTTAACTGCTAATAAAAGGAGATCCAGCAAATACAATATATAATAAAGCAAACAAGAAATTGCAAGCAGCATTTGCTCCCTATCAATTGTTGCCAACTAAACAGCATTTAGAAACTGCAATTCAAGTTAAATGTGGGGCATCCAACATCCACAGTGAACTACCAAGTTAACTTCAGATATATCAATTTCATTATTTTGTATAATGGTCGGGTCAATTGTATCTCAAATGTTACTATGCTTGTGAAATAAAGAGCATTTTCAACCAAGAAAGACATACCTGATTTTTATTTTTACTTTGTACACGAAAGGTGATCTTCTCAAAATTCTGTCACATATTTGGCATATCAAGTTGTCAACATCTGTAAAACTTGCAACTTTATTTAATAGATTATATGATTTATTTAGTGTCATAACCTTGCCGACTTGCCGCAATGCATTAAAAAAATTCTCTTCCTCTTGACGTGTCCAAGCTGCCCATTGCCGTGTCACCTTTTTGGCTGTCAAAAATAATATAACATGAGTGTTTCAGTACACAGCTAATATTGAGAAATATGAAGTTGTTTGAAATTTTTCCACAAAGAATAGGACAGGAGAAATACTAATTATCAAGAGGATAGAAGAGTAGACGTACCTGGCTTCTCATTCACTGCCACTAAAGGAGTTGCAGGAGCAGTAGAACCTCTGTCATTTATCAATAAGTCCTCTGCTTGAGGACCTTGAATTTGTGAAGGGACGTGAGGCTGTGTTTCCATCTTGAAGGCACAAGAGGAACCCTATATCTTTGGAATATGCATGCTCCAATATCAAGCCATCTGCAAGCTCCAGCCTGAGTTATTTACCTTGAGATTGATACAACCCCATTCATCAGTTCCACAATACCATACAGATAAAAGAAACAATAAGCAAGAAACAAATTCCAAAAGGCACAACCACATAGCGCGCATATAGGCCTTATTCCACATACTACAGAGCTTAAGTTAAAGAAAAAAGGTAAATATTGAAAACATTAAGAGCAACTAAGAAGCAGAATGAAAGATTAAAGACTCTTAAGACTATGAAATAGTTTTCCTTTGTAGGGAAGTTCAAGGAGTTGCAAAGAGAGGTCTGCTCTTCCTTTGTTGATATTTTAGTATAGAAATGTATCAACTTAGTGTTGCCCCATTATGCTACCCGATAAGAAACAGATGTGGCTTTCCACTTTGGTTGAATGATCCAGTGAGGAACTGTAATCACTTCATGATAACCAGATGTACTATGTAGGCCTCAAGTCAGAATTTCAATACAATATGGAAACCACAAACTCCTTTTATTTCCTTTGAGAAGAGAAACCTATTGAATTGTCATGGATGCAGCAATAGATCTGGATTAAAAAGGATGTCGGGGAACTATAGAACACTAACTTCTAAATCACTTTAAAGAGAAAAAAAAATATGGGTATAGGAGATGAATAAATAAAAAAGGTAAATATGCAAAATAAAAAGCAGGAAAGTGAGAGAACAAATAAGATATTCTCAACTTAATCACCTTCAAAGGTATCATAAAAGCATTTCAAAATCCTCGCGACAGATTTACCTTCAAACTTATTCTCAACATACCGTATTTGTTACACCCAAGTTATTCTTTTTTTATAGACAGTTTGGACGGCATACACACAACATAGAAAAAGAATCATTCCTCAAAAACTGGCTAAAATTTCAGGGGGAAAAGGAACTTCTAGATTAAAATATTCGTAGTGAAAACTCAAGAATCTTAACTATTTATGGCTAAAGTAGGGGAAGGAAAAGAAACTCGTAGATTAAAACTTCCAGTGAAGACTCAAGATTCTTAACTATTTAAGGCTAAACTTTATTTTACTATATGTCAAAGAATGGCTCTTAGCTAGAGCCTTTTCTTTTTCTTTTTCTTTGTCCTTTTTTTGGGTGGGGTGGGGAGGGCGGAGAGGAGGGGGGTATTAGATTGCTATTTTATCACCGCATCAATTTGACTAATAAGGTAAGGTCAACCATAGCGAATATGTAGAATGACACATGTTAATGATGCTTTGAATAAACTACAATTTTTTCAGGTTAAACTTTAATTTGCTATGTCGGTCATGTAACGATTCTTAGATACAAAAGAATTCCCCTTGGATCAGAATGACATTTGATAATTCTATCAACTTGTTACGCAAACAAGGTTGAAGATAGGGAATATGTCCAAGGTAAACGATTGACATGCATTGAATCTAAACTTTCCATGTTTTAAGCAAGACTGCATTACTTGATATTAAGTGTCTAAACTCATTAAGTTTAACCCTCTCAATTTCACACACCATCCAGGGGTGCGTTCAACATAATATTGTGTTGATAATTATCCTTGAAGAGAAAACCCCAATTAAGAATCATTTTAGTTTTTTTGTCATTGCTATTATTCAAATATAACATCAAAGATAAATTCCTATAGTATGTTATAATATCATTTTATGGAGAACTTTAGCAGAAGGCTTAACCAAGTATGTTCTCAAATGTGAAAAAAAGGAAAACATGGTTTCGTACTTTACAAGAATTTAGTAAGTTTACATATGGTATGCCACCTCCCAGGGAATTATGATAAAGATTGCTTGACCCAACTTGTGGTTCGTTTCTTGATCTGAATGGCCAAAAGTAACAAATTGGCAACCATTAACTAAAAGAAGAGTAAGCAATCAACTGCTTTACCATAGCTCCTGCTATGGTTTTTCCTTAATCACTTTGTCTTTCTTCCTATAGACTTATGATGCAAATTGGACAAAATAATGCTAACTAGGTCTTGTTCCAGCATGGCAAACCCTAGAATATAGCAAATCCACAAGACAAGGGAAAGAAATTTTTTTTTCAATAGTATTAACATTCAAAGATGCATATGAAGAGTCGTAAAAGAGCTTTAGATGGACAAACATATGAAGAGTCGTAAAAGAGCTTTATATGGACAAACAAACAAATAGTTCTACTAAAGCAGAACTCCGAACTAAATGATAAAGTAAATGTAAAAAAAAGTGGAAATTTTAAAACATAAAGACAAATAAGAAACTTCATGAAATCGTTTGCAAAAGGACCATGTCCACGAAATGAATGTGGTCTTACGCCTCTTTCGAAAGGGCGTAGCTTTGGTACGCCATGTCAAAAACTAACCTATATTATAAGTTACGATCTACCAAACTTGAATATAGAAGTCAACCACTCCCCTCAAAGTAGATAATAATCAAGATATCACAACCTCGCCCCAGACATTTACCATAAACTAATGATTTCAAATACGATCAAGTCTAGGAGATCCAAAATTTTATCTTGAAGTTAAACACAAGCTAAAAACTTAATTGTAATGTTTCCATTATAATGCTTAGCTCCACATTGTGTTAAGCAGAATCACTTCTCCTTTCGTAATTAAATTGTTCGTCGAAATTAATACACAAACACAACCATAAATAATGATACACTACAGCTGTAACTCAGACATACAGAGCATATATCAATGAATTGCGTAATCTCGTTAAATTGACAACTGCCAATGTACTTACCCAGCTGAAATTTTGAACATCACAAAATTCACAACTTCTTTCATACAAAATAGTCTCGAGATCAGTATAATCTCAGTATAACCACAAATTGAACTGAAAAATTATTACTAGCATGAAGATCAAATATCAAATCAGAAAAGTAAAAAAGAAAAAAAAACGAAATTGAAATCGAAATAAAGGGGAAAGACAAGAAACGAGTGAAATTGACTGATCACGCAGGAAAATTTCCCCAAAATTACGTTGTAATTGGGGCCGGAGGATTACCGAAACTGACCGGATCTGATCGAGGAGGATCAAAACTGAGATTTTTCGATGCCCTAATCCTGGCACGATTTCGAAAAAGGGGTATTTTTTTTTTCTTCTTCTTCTTTTCCGTTTTTCCCTTATTTTTTTAAAAAAATTCCTTTTGGTTAACTGATGGACATTGATCTCATACCCGACCCGTTAAGTGACTCATATAAGGTGTGCCACTCCGCAAGTTAACACTTGTTTGATTTTTTTTATCTTTTTTATATTAGTCCCTTATATCTTAATATTTGGAAATTAGTTACTTGAAATTTTAAGTGTTTTGAAATTAGTCCCTAAATCTTTTTAAGTGTTTTTAAATTATCCCTTCAATCTTTCAACTAGCTACTAACTAGAATGACTAATTTCAAAATGGTTCAGGGATTTGGAGACTAGTTTCAAAGAGCACATATCCTATCAAAACATTTTACATCGTGCGGGCCTTCTGAGTCTAACAGTAGGGAACGTATGGGTTATTTCGATAATTATTCTACCTCATATGCGGCTGAGATTGTCCCGCATCATGAGACGTCCTGACAGGAAATGTACTTGTTTCAAATTATCAAGATTTGAGGAACTAATTTCAAAACACTTGAAAGACTTTGTGGGCTACTTTCAAAATATCAAGATTTGGTGAACTAATTGAAAATTAAGAAAGATTTGGGGGACAATATAGGGAGGAAAACTTTTTAATGTTTTAAGGCAGTTGTTTCGATTTCAAATCTAGTTTAATAACGCTTGCTGAAAACCATGAAAAGTAATTTGGGAGATATTTCTCCATTGATATCTTTTCCCTTATTTTGTTAATTGCATTTTAATATTCTAAAACTTCACCAAATCTCAATGTATATAGATATCTTGATTTTTTTTTTTTTTTGGAAAAGACTCCTAAATTTACTTACTTTTTACTATCTTCCATTATGTCAACGTTTAGAATTTCATCCACATTGAAAAGTTATGACTTCTATTATACTAGTGTGCATCCCGTGCAAAGCACGACCTTCATTTTTTTATTTCTGCTACAGTAATTCTGTATTTCAATACAGTTTTTTGTAAGAGATACAGTAACATTTTTTAAATGCTACAGTATCACACCTGAGCTACAATGATAATGCTACAATAATGTTTTTAATCGCTACAGTTTCCGCCTGTGCTACAATAATAATGCTACAGTTATCTATCGTGCATGAATAGTGAATCTTGAATTCTCCTGCTTGTGCTATAGTAACAATGCTACAATAATTTGCTGTAGTATTTACTGTAGCATAAATAGTGAATCTTGGGTCCTCTCATTGTCATAGAGAAAAAGATTTCTGAAGTGAAAAGAAATTCCTCTGGACTTTCTTTTTTCCCCCATTTTCTTCTCCTTCCTTCAAATGATCAATTTTGCGCTCGCAGTATTTAAAAGAACTAGTTCCTTTTTCACTTTCTCAGCCACAAAATGACTCCAAGTTGACATTGGCTAAACTAACAGTGTTATTAAAAAAACATCTTACAAACTTTGGGAATTTGGGGTATATTCCCCGGTGAAACTTCAAAATATTAAAGTGCAAACCACCATTTTCATTCACGGGGTCTCCAGCACATCAGAAAGAGGGTCTAGACTATTATTCATTAGTTTTTTTTTTTATAAGAATTTTCTTAGTTTTTCCGATTCCGTCTAATTTTTGTTTATGACGTTATTCCTGCCAAAACTATTAATAATATTTACTATGAAAGCCATATTGAAACCTCTCAACCGTCCCAGAGTCACCCACGATGGGCAGTTTGTTTATGACGTTATTCCTGCCAAAACTATTAATAATATTTACTATGAAAGCTATATTAAAACCTCTCAACTGTCCCAGAGTCACCCACGATGGGCAATGTTTTCTTTTTGAAAATACGTATCTTTTACTTTTAATATAAGCTTAATATATATGAGTATTATCTAAAGGTGATGAAGCAGGATGGTGTTGAACTCTTCCATTGGCAATGACAAAGTAAATGGGGGGAAAACACACACTCACTTGATCATTTCTTGCCTCGTGAAATAAGTTTGCTTACAACCCTTAATGAAAAAAAATTAAAAAGAGCTGATATCAAGTAAGGCTGCATGAGCCATCCATCAATGAAAACCCAGCAGCAATGTAAACTCTCATACCTGTAAACATTCAACAATCCTCATCTATGTACATGGCAAGCATATGGGGCTCAATGAATAGCCTGCTAGAACTTTCACTAGGGTGGCTGATTGTCGATCAGATAACATAAACTTAAAGAGTCTGATATAACAATTGTATCATTCGATACGAAAAATAAATCGTGAGTATTGGAATAATGTTAAAATGTGTTCTCTTTGAGATGGTACATGAGATAATATCCACATAGCTGAAACACAAGCCTTTACATGCAATATTAAATAAAATTCCCAACTTTTTAAGGGGATTTAGAATGATTCATTTAACTATTTCGACTTTTCTCCAAAATAGTCTTCAATCTTCTTGTTTTTCGGGTTATTGCTACGTGAAAAGTTCTCCAGTCCCGATCGAAATGCTTGAAGGCTTACTCCTTTCCTTACCAGGATACTTGTCACTCCCATTTTAGACACCTGGGAAAATAATAATAATAATTGCATATTAAAATGGAAGGAAACTTCAACATATCTCCAATTCTATTAAAATGATAAAATCATAAATGGAGAACATATTACTTCTCAAAGTAACAAAATGAACCAATCGGTATTGTGTAACTTATAGTAACAAATGGATGGATTGATTTTGAGAAGCGAAAAAGAGAACTTACATCTATTTCTAGCTGTTGTTTTCTCATGGACTTGAAGAAATAAATCAATAGAAGAAATAAAATCACCACCCAGTCAGAGATCAGGATTTTCCATATTTTGGGAAGTATGTGCTCAATGTGATTAACGCAAACGTACGGTTGTTGACTTTAGCCACTTTCAAAGAAATTGTCATATATTACCTTGCTACTTCAGATCATTGATTGATAATCCTATGTACTCATACTTTTGTTTCACGATATACACATGTGCACATACGGTAACTAGTGCTTCGTTGCTCCGAAAGAACAACCTTTAGTTCCATCGTATCAGAATACATGATGTATAAGAATATATGAGAATGAAAATTGTATTTAAAGATTTGTTCTCTAATCACCAGCTAGATAAATGGTTATCTGATGACTATTTCTTTTGTTTTCAAAGGGTTTTTCCAGAGGTTCTAACCTGCACCTTCAGAACAATATCAGAGAAAGCTCA